CATTAGAAAATTCTAGTAAGATTAAAATCTTCCTCAGTTCACAAGATACTTTTCGATTTTCCGTTAAAACTCTTGGACTGACTTGAGTTCTAATTTCTCGATGATGATCTGAGGTAAATGGTAGATTTGCTTTTCGATTTTCCGCTAAAACTCTTGGACTGACTTGAGTTCTAATTTCTCGATGATGATCTGAGGTAAATGGTAGATTTGCTTTTCGATTTTCCGTTAAAACTCTTGGACTGACTTGAGTTCTAATTTCTCGATGATGATCTGAGGTAAATGGTAGATTTGCTATGGTGATAAAGGAAGGCTAACTGAGAATTCTTGTCACCTTCAATCGAACTTCCAGCTCAAAAATTGAGCAATTTTTGCAAAAGATAAGAATGTTAAGTGTTGTAGAATTACTTCGATGTACACGAGAAGAGCGATATTGGTTGTCAAGAAGTAACTCTCAGATGTGTTGATTCAAATTCTTTGGTATGGGCCTTTAAATTACCTTAGGCTTTTAATTTCTTCGAGAATATATGCAAAATTAGCCAAATGCGGAAAAACCTGCCTATTTGATCAATTAACAAACTATTAATTATGCTTTGTTTTAATATAATCGATCAATTAACAATCAATTAAATTATTTAACGATCAATTAACAAAATTTTAAACCATACCAAATTTTAATAAAGCTTTCATTGCTAAAAATGTCACCAACATTACCTATTTATTAATTGCAAAGTAAAAGATGATATGATCGATAAAAAGAAATGCCATACATAATGCTAATTGTTGTGCATTTATTGTCCACTATAAGAATACTTAACATAAAGTAATACTGTTAAATATAAAGTAAAGTATAAAAATAAAGTAATACTGTTAAATATAAAGTAATACTTGAAAATAAAGTAATATTTTGTCTATTTCAAGTTTCGTTATGTTGTTCATAATAGTGTTAACAATTAAAACTTTGCAAAGAAAATTTATTTTAAAAGTTTAAAATTCAAAAAAAAGTAGCTAAATAGAAAACTCTATTACTCATTCCTTTTTTTTAGATTTTAATTGAAGATAAATTTGTAACTTTTAATAAATGATATATTATCATTTACTACATATATCCATATATCTATCTACACATAGTACTAAATAAGAAAGAATAAATTAATACAAATCCTTGAATTAACCTAAATTAAGCCTACACAAATTCAGGCTCTTCTTCCAAATCCTATTCTTCGAAATGTTTGTATGATTTGAATTGATTTATGCAAATTTCACTTCTTTAATTGTATTCCATTTTTTCATATTCCTTTTTTTTTCCGTATTTCGATTCCGTATTTTCGTATTCCTCTTCTGTATTCTTTTTCTTGTATTTCTCGTATTCTTTTTCCCTTTTTTTTCCGTATTCCGATTCCGTATTTTCGTATTCCTCTTCTGTATTCGTTTTTTTCGTATTCCTTTTTCCTTATCCTTCTTTTGAATTTTTTGCAAAAATTTATGAAACAATAGATATTATGTAAGATTGAAAATGAAAAAATATATATATAAAACAAAATTTTGCACGAAAGAAAGACAATTAGTTTTATTTAAATTAAACTTCACTGAATCCAATTACAGGCCAGAATAATTAAATCCAATATTATTCTGTTCAATGCAGGAAGTTTCCTTGACAACAGGTAACGTTCAGGTATAATTCATAAAAGATTGTTATTTCGGATAAGTTTTTTTTTAATTTTCATAAAAAGTGAAAAGGAAACTTCATTTCATGCTTATATTGCATTAATTAAGCAAAAAGTAAAAAAGGACAAGCAATTGAAAAAAATGAAATTGTTAAAGTTTACCAATTTTTTTTTTTTCTGAAATAATATTTAATTTTAGCTTTATTCTCTTTTCTTGAAATAAATAAAAAAATAGAAAAAGAAGAAGAAGGAATTTTACATTTTAAACAATTTAATTTATATGAAAAGCATTAAAATATCTATGATTATCACCAATTTTTGATTAAAATTTAATTAAAATACCGGAATAAATGAGAGAATTTTTTAATTTTTCTTTCCAGAAAACCGGATAAGATTAGAATTAGAGGAAAATATTATCAGAATTTCATTTAAATATTTTTTTTAAGAGAAAAAAAGAAAAGAAAAAAGCCATTATCGAGATGGATTAAATGCATTCAATGCTATATATTGTATTCACAAGTGATCACTGACGATGCGACACTTCGACTAGAAGGATATTTATCAAAGAATGCACTTCGTGATGGTTTCAATAATACGGTGGAAATAAGTGAGACGAAAAATGATTCAATAACAAGTACGAAATTCTTCCAGACTGAAAGGAAAAATCATTGGATTTTGTTTAAAATTTTAACATTTAAATTTATATGAAAAGAAAAAAAAAGAACTGAGAAATTAAATATTCCATTTTTTTTTCTTAAATGGAACATTTAAATTTTAAGAAAAATATTAAAGGAATTAAATGTAAATTTTAAATGTTCCATTTTTGGGAAAATGATGGATTGTATTAAATTTGAAATTATCATTTAAAAAAATTTTTGTTCTTTTTAGTATAATTTCAGAAAACAAATTTTTCCTCAATTTTTTATGAAAATTTAAAATTGTTTTTAGATTAAAAGCCATCCATCAATGATTAATGATTCCAAATGATGGATAACAATCATTCCGAAATAAAAAAGGTAAAATATTTAGAAAAGAATTTTAGGAAATCGATTCAAAAAGGTTACTTATTACTTTGAAATATTACTAATTACGAACTAGATTACTTATTACTAATTTATTCATGTAATTATCATGAATATTCCGATGATGGATCTCTGATAATATTAGATGATTCAGAGCATTCTGATATCATAAAAATAATTTCAAACTTTAATCTTATAATTTCATTAAATCATTCTTCTTCTAACTACTTCTAATAGGAATAGTAATTCGATTAACTTCTTTTCTCGTTTGTAAACATGGATAAAGCACTAACAAAAAGCTGTTTCAAGAGATGGTAACACAGTGCCACAGCCAAATATACCAGCTCGAGCCAGAAGATCAAAAATAGGCTGCTGTATACCATAAAACATGAAATAGAAATCGAGTAATCGGAAAACAACAATATAACGATACGGTATCAATTCATCCTGAAAATAAAACGGAATAATTCGGAAAAGGATAATTCTTAGGTATTACTTAATATACAATTAACCATGAATGATACTGTAGCAATTGATGTTTGGCATGCATGCATTGTAAAAAAAATGCAAATATTTCATTTTTGCTCTTTTTTTTTCGTTGACAATTTCAATAATTATCAGTCTGTTAATTAATGGGAAAAAGAATGAGCTAATTAATTGAAATTAGCAAAAGGATATAATGTATTCTATTCCTCATTTAAAGGAGCTAGACTAATTTAAATTATTCAATGATTAAAATTATTTTATAACTTACCAGATTTGAAACAGTTGTTACAAGTATATGTGTACCGTATATACCGATCAATAAAGATGGAAGTGATATAAAATCAAGTATTTTTAGCGCCCTGAAAAAGCGCAATTGACCAATCAATGAATGTACAATGTTCAAATGCAGAAAATAAATATTTAAAAAAAAAAAAAAAAAGATTTGTTTAGCAAAATGCCAATTAAAAATTTTGCTAATCAACAACAGTTTTTCAAACTTTCATTTTCTGCTACGATAATGAAACTTTAGCATAATTAGGAAAAAAGAAAATAAATTTAAAAAAAAAAACACATTTTAAGAAAATAATTTTAAACAAAAATTAAAACTTTATTTAAAAATTGATAGAAAAAAAATATTAATTTTATATGCTCTGTTTAAGTAAGTATTGCTAACTCTAAAATTATGAATCTAATCGAAATGATCTGAAAATGGAAAAACATATTTGATATTTGAAAATATTTCCAATATTTGAAATTAACTTTTGAAATAAATAAATAACTTACATAATAGCACCATCTTGATATTCAAAATAAAGTATTAAGCTTAAAATTGTAAATATAAGCCTAATACATGGAGCCTGAAAGACCATCATTTCGCAGAATCGTATCCGACCTCTACAACAATAATAATTTATTGTTTAATAAAATTATTTGGTGAGAAATATTCAAAAAAAAAAAACAAATTGAACTTTTTATAGTTCAAAATCAATTAAAAATTAAAATTAATGAAAAGGCCGAAAGAAAAAAAATCATCGGCTCATTCAACGCAATGCATAATCCAAAAAAAAAAAAAAGTTATAGTTTTGAAAAATGAATGAAAAATTATTTTGAAAAAAAGTTATAACGATGAAAAATTAATTCGAAATTCAATCCTACTGATAAAACTAATTAAATTAATTCCTAATTAGCCTATATAAGCTAATTAGGAATTAATTATATAAGCTTATATAAGCTAATTTAAAAAGATTAGAAAGTTTATTTGGCTTATCATTCGTTACATTTTTTTTGCTTCTTTCTTTCCGATTTTATCCAATGATTATCAAATGGTTTAAGTTTTTTTGCAAGAAATGAAAAATTGGAATAAAACTATGATATTTATTCATATAAATAATTTAATCTATCATACTTTTTAAAAAGGAAATCGTTTAATTGTAAATTAATTTTAACAAAAAAAAAAAATAATCTTACTGATCAAGTTCAAGTTTTGGTAAACATGGGAAAACACAACAGAGTGGCGGTGTTTGTACGCTTATCCTTGAACAACCATTTTTCATTTTTCTCACCATTTTTTTGACGTCCTTCGAAAATATTCATCAAAAGACAAATAATCACCCATAATGCTATCGAAAAATATCTATAAATTATAAAATGAAATTTTTAAAAATTTTATGAAAATTTAAGCAATAAAAGATTAAAAAATTAAGGAATTGATAAATAAAATGATAGAAATTGTTAAAATTTGGACAAAAATTTTCGGCAAAAATTTTTTTTATAAAAAAAAAATGAAAAAAAAAATTTTTGTTTTCTTGTAAAATTTTTAAAAACGAGAAAATAGCAGAATACAAATCAATCACTAGATGATAAATTAGTAAATTAAGCAAAATTTAATCAAATAAATGTATTTTAAGTATAATAAAAATAATTATTTTAAAGTCTTCAATTCCTTTTTTTTTTCTTTCTAAAAAAAATTTCGAACATTTGTTTGATTGAAAAACGAAGATTAAAAAAAAAAAATAATGTTTACACTAAAATATATCAATGATAAATTATCAAATAAAAAAATTTGATAGAAAATAATAGAAATTGAAATTATGATACGATTTGAATAATTGGCGGATGTTTCTCTTTTTTTATGTTAATTTTTGTTTTTTTTTTACGTCAATATAACATGCACAAAAGATGCTACCATTTTAAAGAAATAAAATGCTGTTTTAAAATTTTGAAAATAATTTACTTCAAAAAGATAATAAATAATAGCTAAATTAAAATGACATACAACTAAATGAGTATTTACTTTTCTAAATTTTTACCATTTAAAAAAAAATTTTTTTAGCTTTTTTTTAAAAAAAATTTTTTAGCATTTACTTTTTTAAATTTATGCAATCATTTCAAAAACCTTAATTGGTAAAACATTTGAAAATTTGAAAAAAAAAAACTTACAAAAAGCCAAGAAGATGGGAAAGGAACCATACCCGAGGCATATACATTGCTACCAATGAAAGAGTTGAAACGAACTAAAAAAAAGGAAACAAATAATATAAATATTATTTTGAAATTTTGTAATAACTAAGCTTCTGATTACAACAATAAGCAATTAGTTCATTAATTAATTATAAATTATTCCTAAAGAACAGATTAAATTTTTTGGTAAATTTAATAACATTTCAAATATTCCTAATCTTTGTTATATGGATTGTACAATAAATACTTTGTCATGTTTATTGCCCATAAATTCCCAAATTACAAATTATATCAAATGAAATAAGTTTCCAGTTTCAGATAAATTTAACAAAATTTCTTTTTTAATTATTCTTAATAACTGTTCGACGAATACTTATGATATTATCAAAGTTTGCTAATTTTTGGATTCCTAATTTAACCTATGTGACAATGTGTCAGGTAATAGCAATGGGCGTTGTATAATTAATTAATTATCACTTAGAATTTTACTCACCGGTGCAGTACCAGCCAAATAAACAATAAATGCTCGTCGATATCGCTGTGTAACATAAAATGATATATAAATAATATGTAAAATACCGAGACATGCAGTAGCCAAGGAGATAAGAGTTGATCCTAGTAGAGCCACAATAAATGTTGATTCAATTCCTGCAAAATGATATTTTTAGATCAATTTCAGGATGTCTGGTTAAGGATAAATATAAATGACAATAGGTGAATGTTGACAAAAATTCATTAGATTATAATTTCGAGTAGAAATAATTTGACAATTTAGATAAAAAACAAGCGCTTGAAAAATTAAAAAAAACGAAAATTTTAAAAATGATAAATTTAAAAATTTTAAAACAAAACAACAATTTCAAACATGTCTAAATATTTAAATTTTGAGGCGATAATTTTGAAATCTAGAAAAAAAAAGAAAACATACTGGATAAGTAAACTCGAGCAGTTACTACACCATTTGGCCCATCTGTACAATTCAATAATGAATCAGATACAAGTTTTACAATGGTATTGAACATTTTTTTACTGAAAGAATAAAAAATATTAAGTAAATAAATAAAAATAATAACTTGTTTTTGCTTAATATTTAAGGATATGAAATATTGATTTCTTTTTTCACCTCCCTTTTTTTTCTTTTAGCTTTCCTGGAATAAATAATTTTCACATGTTTTTTTTTAATAGTAAAAGATATATAATGGAAAAGATTAGAATGTAATCATTGATAAATACTAACAGTGATAACAATCTCACATAATGAAATACTTTAAGAATGTTATTAATAAAAATTGACAAATGTATAAAAGAAAATTGAAAAGGTACGAAAAATTTATATACATGAATTAGAAGAGAAGGAAATTGAATTAATAATTAATTAACAGTTAGTTTTCAATGGATATTTAAAAAAAAATTTCAACAATACGGTGAAATTATTAAAATACTTTAATTATTCATTAAATAGGAAAAAAGTTAAGAATTTTAATAAATAAATAATAAATTACACAAAATATTTAGCAAATATAGATGAAATTATAATAAATATTCATTAAAAATTACTTTTAATAGAGTTATACATTATAAATATGAACGTTTACTCTTCCTACATTTTCCATTATTATATCATTTGAATTCTCAAACTATCCACTCATAATCGATTATTAATTACGATCGATTACTAATTATCGATATTTTAATTTAGGAATTACATACTTATTTGTATAAGACAGAATTATTGGTCTAAAGAAGGGAGATAAGAGAGGTAAGATATTATTTATTATTGATTCTAAAAACAGAAACCAAATTTCTCATTTTTTTTTTTCTAACCGTGTTTTTCCACCTTCATAATACACTCTGCCCGATAAATGTTCCATTTTTAATAAAATTCATTAAAAAATTATATGTGATTAAAAAAATGAAATAAGAATTGTGGCCAAGAGAAAGGAGGAAATGTGAAATGCTTAGCAACAATTACAGATGTTTGAAGTAATAAAAAGGTATAAAATGAGATTATATTAAAAGATATGAAATATTGATTTCAATTTAATAAATTTATAAATTCGTAAATATATCATACAAAGCGCAATTAATATTACGATTAATTATTTGAAAAAAAGAAGTAAAAGTACGATTATATGTCATTAAAAGAGCATTTACGTCATCTGACATAATAATATCAGGTAAATCTACCGTATCAAATCATCATACTAAACATATTGATAACCTTTTTAGCTTTTTGAACATACCCTCAAAAAAAATAACATTACTATGATTAAGTATTGATCATTACAGTAATATTGATAAGATATGGATGATTGTTGATCAAAATTAATCTAGTAAAGGGAATAATTAATAATAATAATAATAATAATAATAATAATAATAATAATAATAATAATAATAATAATAATAATA